TAATGAAAAGTTTTATTTACTCAATGATCAAAGTCTTTGTCCACACAGTCCAATAATTCAGAAATTTGAAAACATTTTAATCAGGAGAGAAGTGAGAGATGTGTAGTTATAGCACCATCCCAAACCGGAAGTGTATCCTATAACATTTTCTTAAACAACCATCTCAAAAAAAAGTTAGGAACTCCTTCCTTTGAATCCTTTTCTCTGATGCTGTAATTCAGTCCAAGACAGAAACCTCATGTACATCATGTTCTTGAAGGCTTTGTGGTAGAGGCAGTATTAATTTCCCAGAAGTTATACTTAATTTTAAATATTACTTTTAATACTATATATAGTCAACATGAATTTGAAAAAAAAATAGATCTTAACAAATCAATTAGTGAAACTTTTTTCCTATTTTTTTTCTTCTTTCATCTATCCGTAATCTTTATAAAGAGTACAGTAATCAGTCAAGTAAGGACTCACAAATTCAAGCTTAGGAAATTTAAAAAAATAAAGAATTTATGCTGAAATTTTACATTAAAACAATAGAATCAGAGGACATTTTCAACTTAATTAATTCCTAATACATATTCTCTTCCACATTCTAGCAGTCAAACTTTATCATACAAAAGCAACAAAAATGTGGTTGCAAGAGGAAAACAATCTGCTCCTTTCCCATTTAAAAATGTAGCTTTTCGGTACAAATAACACAGCAGTTGCTTAGTTAAATGGGTAACATTAATTATTTAAAAATTCTGGATGATTTTTAATACTGGTTTTTTAATCACTTGCCAGTTTTAATGAGCTGATAAAAAATTGTGTGAAAGTGTACGATCCAGAGACTAATTATATGTTACTTGCTTATTAACTGCCTTGAGATTTTCAAAAAAAGGCAAAATATTGTAGTTTAAATACTAAAAATGCATTCACATGCATTTTTAGTATTTTTACTCAATTTTGTTTGGTTGGATTAGGGATAAAAGAATTCAATATTTAATTTATACTAGTTCTTCAGCCTGTTTTTCAGTTTCTTGATTATCTCTGTAGTGGGAAGTATAACACTGTTCCAAACAAGATTATTCTGCTTTCTGAGAGAAAGGCAAAAGAGAGAGACAGGTCTGTCAAAATAACTAGCATTAATTGGAATATCTGTATAATGTGTGTGTGTGTTTCATCTCTTAAAATATATGGATTTCTGTGCCTCTCATTATTCTTTTTATCTTAAAAGTAATAAAGATTTGTAGGTTTTGCTCCAGAACACTAAGAGCTATCTCTTTGGATTGTTTTCATCTATTATGCTGTATGCTTTTATAATGAAATGGAACAATTCAGTTATGTTGATTTTGTCCTTTGTGGAGTTGAAAGCAGGTCCTGGTTCATGTATCTCTCTTGTGACCAGCTAAATAAGGAATTTTCAAGCTATTTTCAATAATGACCCCCTAAAATGTTAAATAAATATGTGTGAGTCCCTCACCGGTGAATAAAATCAGTGATAAATCCTTATTATTAGCAGAGAGTGCTGCATGTAGCATGGATGTAACTAAGACTGGTAATCTAGTCTACACCTTCTCCATCTTACTAATAAGCACAATGTGAACACCTCAATTGACCAAAGCTATGTTGGCTATTAAAGGTCGATATCTCTCAGCCAAACTGGTAACAATCATGGCATATAGAAAATTGCAACCTGAAATATAAGAGGAATAAATGGTAAAGGTCTGATGGCTTCTCTCGTCTCCTGGTATTCAAAGCTGTGGGAGAACTGCTGTCCTGTAGTCTTCTCACGAGAAGCAGCTGTCTGGAGCACAAGTGGGTGATTTCTCATCTTCTCTTTGTCCTGAGAAGCTCCATTGGACCCAACTTGCCGCTGGTCCATCAGTCATCACCGTGGCATTGTCTCTGCTCATTTGGAGACGTCTAATTCACCATTTTCCTCACCCAGAAATCCTCAGAAACTTAGTCACTTTTTTTTTCAGTTAGTAGTACAATAAAATCATTTCAGATAACTTCCTGATTCTGAGCTCAAGTCTGAAGCCATACCAAGTTTCTGAAACTCATAACTTGTACTGTGGCCTACTTTTTTTGTTCTTTGTACAAGCAGTTTAAATTACTACTATTTATTTCACAGGTCATATAGTAACATTTTCACAACCACTGTTTTCCCTTCTTCATACCTTCATTTACTTGAAGGTGATAGCTAAACAGTATCATATCTTTAACATCACCTATCTCAGTAAGTACAGGTTCTTACCGAAAGGTTCTTAGTATGGTATGTATCTATTTCACATGAGTGAATATAGAGAATATTAGGTAGAAAACTGTTTTCGAGCCTTAAATTTCTGTAAAACAGATTACAAGAAAACAAAATACTATTCATTATAACAATGGTATGAGTTTTAGAAAGGATTCTGATACTAGGAACTAAACCAGCTTTAAAAAAGAAAAGAAAAGAATTTTCACTAAAGTGCTAAAGTATAGTAAGTACAGTTTAAGATCCACTGGCATTTAGTCTATAAAGTAATGTTTTATAGATAGTGCATACCACACATTTAAGTAAAGTTCCTTTAAACCTTAGTGGAAATGTTGTGTTTTGGGATGCACTTGCTGTGGAAAGATAATGTTGTCATCAGACCAACATTTGCTCTAAGAAAAAACGGAACTTCCCATAAGAGACTTGCACTGGACTCTGCCACCAGTTGACTCTGCTTCATTAGCTATCAGTGTGCAAGAAATAAAAAGTAAAAAAAAAAAAAGATCAAAAATACCACTGAATAGCATTTTATATTTATCAACATTGAATAATATTATGCTAATCAACTTGTCACTTTCTCAAAAATATCCTTTTTGTGGGAGACTGCTAGATTGTACTAACAGTATTAAAATACAAATTTAGGATTCCAATTTTAACAAAATCTTAAATTGACACTTTTATTCTTTTGGGAAACATGAAGAAAGAAGTATCGCCTGCAATGAAAAAATGCAGTTCATGGGCTCACCCATCATACCAAGCCATAAAGTGTAATTTATGAACCATAATAGTTGGGTTTATACAGTTTAGCATGATGTATGAACCCATCCAATGCTTCTTTTCAAGTCTAAGCAAGATGTAAAAGAAAATGCTGCTCAAGGTTCTAGCCAGCCAGTCAGGCATGTAGAAGTCAAGCAGTAGAAGCTAAAAGGAACTCAAATAAATCATTCTTTGTACTCCACCCCAGATGTTTTCTTTTCTGCCTAATAATCAACATTCCATGGATACCGAGCATGCTCAGTTGTTGTTCAGTCAAAGGATTTACTGTGCCCCCACATCATCAGCCTACCAATAAGCTGTTCTTTTTTACAACTTAGTAACTGTTGACTGATTAACCACCTTCCATTAATCCACTAACAAATATATTTACTTGGCAACTTGTTATTTCTTATTTGATGAATATATAAACATTGAACTAGAAGGAGAGGCTCAACTGGCTTGATTCCAGTATTATGTAAATTATTCATTGTAAATCAACTACTACTTCTGTAAAATGATGGGATTCTATACAACTATGAACATTTTAAATTATGAAAAAGTTATCAGTGGACATTGGTGACTTATCCATACCTTGAATTTCATATCTGATTTCCTCAATCATTTATTAAAAGTAACTTCATATCTCTGCTCAACAAACTCCTCAATATATCAGAGATGGATTGTTCCAGTGGTGAATTTTTATTCTTTATAGGCACTCATTCTTGTATTCACTCATGCAGCGTGTCCACTGATATGGCAGTTATCAGCTCAGGTGGCTTTATGAGTGACCACTCTGTGAAATCAAATAAGTATTTAAAATCTGAAACTGCCAGACTTTTGCTGGGAAATAGTTCATCAAAAGGAACATATTTTCTTATTCTGATATCATTATAGCAGGCATGTATTTATTAATATATCTGTATCCATACTGTTATTCCTATATGGAATAAGGTAATGCTGTCTCATTGTTTTGATGTAGTATTCCAGTACTCATGGAGAGGTACCAAAAAATGCTGAACCTTGAAACAGAGTAGGACAGGATATATTGTGGTTGTTATTGCTAGAATATCATTGATTCACTTTTAGTAGAGCCTTTTTCTTTCTTGCTATTTTTGACTGCTTTGTTGAAAGTCTGGTCTGGATAGCAAAAGTTATTTAAAAGATAATAATAAAGCCAGAATATAAAAGGACTTGCTCTTACATCATGTTCAGAATATCTCTGAATTTATCAGGCTGCTGTGTGTTCTCTGCAGTCTTTTCAATTTTATTCGAGCAAGTAAAGGAAATTGTTCTCGTCCTTTGACCTAAACAGTTGTTGAAGCCTTAAAAATAAAACTCCCAAAGCTTAAAGAAAACTGATTCTTAGTATACCAAAACAGATCATAGAACTCTAGGGCTGTAAGATATTTTCAAGGATATCTTTTCAGAACTCTCTTGCACAATTCACTGTTCTCAAAAACTATTTAAAGTTGCTTACAAAGTGTTATAGAATATATTAAAGGCTATCATTTTCACTTTTATAATAACCTTAGAATCATAGAATGTAAGGGCTGGAAAGGACCTTGAGATCACAGAATCCAATATTCTATCTAAATATTCTATTTAGCCTTCTAAACTCTAATACTGAACAAGTGGAAATTTCTTCATGCAGCGTGACCTTCGTTTCCTGTGTTTCTCTGATATATCCACTGCTCCCCCTAGATCTGCTCTGGAAGGTCACAAAATTTCCTTGGATTTTGCTGAGAAAAACTATGACGCTACTATTGCCATTTATAGAAAGCATATGGTGCAATTTACCACATGTTACTGCTGCTCCTTATGAATGTTTGTTATTCTGCTGTTATCCATTTTTGTGATTCTCTACTTTTACCTAAGATTGTGTGTTTTGCTTAAATATCATTTTCAAAAGAAGCTTTGTCTTGGCGATTATATAAATAATTAAAATTAAATATCAAGGATTGTACCTGTACCTTTACAATTTGGGCATTAATATTTCTGATTCTCTTTTCAGCCGTTTAGAGCAGAACTCCATCAAAGCCATTCCTCCTGGAGCCTTTTCTCAATACAAGAAACTTAAAAGAATGTAAGTATGTTAAATGGTCTGGGATGCTTAATATTTTCAGTATATTTTGTTATCCCATGAGGCAGTCAGGTAGGCAAATTACTAATTCTGCCAGAAGGGCCTCCTGAGTTCCATGCATACAAAATTACATGTGTAGTTCTTGAATATATGAATGTTTTTTATTATGGTCACTGACCAGAATTACAAACAAAAACACATTAAAAATAAAAATAAGATAAAGTATTACAATTAGCAGTGGGTTTGTCAGTGGATAATCAAAGTCTGCCTAATTTTACCGGCAGTATAACAAAATTTAGCTATGTTCAAGGAGACTGAATCATACTGATCTGATAACAACAACTGTACATTAAAAAATATCAGAATTTCCCGGGTGTTTTACCAGGTAAGTCCTTGAGTCCTTATAGAGGGTACAATGTAGCAAGTCATGAGCTGTAGTTTCAGCAGCCCACAGGGGTACAGTCTCTGCTCATAGGGGACTTTTTTGTATCGGTCCTCCAAAACTGCTGTGGGGAGAATGCTGAAGCGTGCTAAAGTTAGTGCTCTTTGGAATTTGGAAACAGTTATGTGGTGTAAGTATCTCTCTGGTTTGTAAAAAAGGGCTCAACTGCTCAGAAAAACTTTCTTAGGTAGAGCAGACTAGTCCTGTCGGGCTTCTAGGTCTTTGATACGTTGCTTAAATGTGCTGAGTGCATGTTCATAACCCATCATTAGGAATGCCTCCCTGGAAAAGCCAAGACATTGAAGTTTTGTGAGATTGTCCTGAGCCATACTGATTTACAATTGTCCTCAATGAGAAAAAACTCAAACCTGTGGGAGAGAACAGTAACTTCAACCAATGTGCTATGATACAGGTCCATGCACCTGTTTCAACTTTTGATAGCACTGCCTCCCACCTTAATATTACATTTGGAACTCAAGGGGCTACCTGGGATATAGGCCTTAGGAATTTAGATTGGACTCTTTCAAGAGAAGTAAAGGAAGTATAAGGTCCTAGCTGGACACCAGAAAATAATTGTACACAAACCTTAGCGGAATATACCTTCAGTGCTGCTGGGATATTCTGTGCTCCTCTGGTGAAGTGAAAAGATTGAATTGCAGCCCTGTTTTTTGAGCATTTTGTATGACATAATTTTGGTGTGCACTGCATTTGGTGGAGCAAAGGAAAACCACACCAAATATTTAAAAGATTTCACTTGTTCAGTACTGTGGACATTTAATCCTTCAGGCATGCAGTTTAGGTCTCTTTGCAAAGATCAGGATCTTAGTTTTACTATAGCTGATTTCAAGGGCTTCCTCAGAGCAGTAATTGGCCAGAGCATTGAGAGTTCGTTTACGTCCACTTAATGTTTGTGATAGAAGTACTATGTCACATGTGTATAACAAAGTTGAAATATGTCTGTTTGCTAGTTTTGGGGCTGATGTTCTAATTGATTTATTTTGGTCATGAGTGGATTTATGTACAGATTAAGCCACAGGGGATTTTTGTACAGATTAAACAGCAGGGGTGTGTAGTTCTTGAATTTGACACCAATTCTTGTGCATATTCTTCTAGCTTTTACTTTCTGCAGGTAAGCTGATTTCCTAGGTGATTAAAAATGGGCTGAACACATCATCACCCTTCCCTGTTATCCCCTGTAATGCCCACATGCATTCAGATCTGTCCAGAGTGTCTTCCATCTCATGAAGCAGGTTTGGGGAAATATAGGAAGAGGACAAACTTTTTTTGGTAGTGTCAGTTTTATTGCTAGAAGTTCACTCTTTGATATGAGCTAGTATCAAACAGTAGAACTGTTGAGACAAAAAGTGAAGGAAGACTGTTCATGCAAAAACTAAATCCAGTTAATGCATTCTTATTTGACCCCATAACTTTAGTCCAACATGGACTTCGTAGTGTAATGGAGGCAATGTGTCTAATAATACATGACAATTAAACCATTATCCATAACCATAAACAGCTACTCTGTTGTTTATGTACTGTCCACAAACTGATTTAGGTATTTATTTCTAGTCATTTAATAAATTTACTTAAGTAAGTTGCTTGGACTTGGAGAGACAATTCAGGTAAATGCAATTTACTTGTGGTAATAATATTCTTAAATATTATTACACGAATAAACATAGTAAGCTAGGGATGCTTTTTAATGCTGATGCCAATGTTGGTCTTGGAAACACTCAACAATTTCAGTATAATTACTCTAAATTTATGTTGGTAGTAAAAAAAAAAGCAGAGCATAAGAGTGTCATTACAGGTCTGCTGATATTTGATTTGGAAGCTAAAATGTATAGCTGATGGTCATGAAAAATATTCAAAAAGTTATAGAGGTACCCTTTCTTTTTTAAATGAAGAAAATATAGCCAATACTATAGTCACTTCTTTGAAAATGAGTCTCAGTTAACATGGTGGCAAAATGCATAGGACTGCACATTTATCCATACATTTATACAGGAAGGCCATGATGAAGCAAGACATCTTCAGTGGATATTACATGGATATCAGAATGAAGAGTATTCTATAGGGCATAGAGAAGGTCCATGTATGTAGCTGCATTAATACTGGTATAATGTATGCACAGTCAGGTGTTAAACTCAGTTTTCTGGCTGCTGCATTCTGCACCAGTCACAGTTCCTAGACCAAACCCAATGGTAGCCTAAACAGAGTGCACTTAAATATATGAACCACAGTGAAAAGCTGTGTCTATCCATGAAAGGGTACAGTTGTATACTAGATGAAGGTGGTAATAGGCATTCCTTCCTGTCACTGTTTTTTCTAAGGGAATGCAGCCCAACTGAGAACAGACAAACTTCCCAATTCTTATGGCTTGGAACTACCCACTCTCAAAATTGCCATCTTGTCAGATTTAACCTAGATTTATTTGTACTCATCTATTCCATTACTGCATCTATACACTGGTTCAGAACATGAACATATTGTGTCTGCTTTAGAGCTGAGTGTCATCAGTATATTGCTGCTAAACTACTTATATCTTCCCCAGTGGCTTCATATGAACAGTACTGGGGATAAAACATTACTGTTTTATCCCTTGTATTATTTTATCCCTTCTATTTTATCCCTTGTATTATTACTCTCTGAAGTTGTCCAAAAAAGTAGGAGAGAACCATTGAATCAGAATTCCCTACTCCCTACCTCACTGAAATGCTCAAACAGAATATGTGGATGATGATAACAAAAGCTAAGAATTCAAGCAGAATCTTGAATTCAGGTACCTGTCTCCTGCAGGTCACCTATCAGGGTAATGAAAGCTGATTTTATTGCAAACCCATAACTGAAGCCAGACTGAAAAAGTTTGAAATAATCAGTGCGTTCCAAGAATAGGTGTAGTTGTATGGACAACTATTGTATTATGCATCTTGCTTCAAAAAGGGACATTTGTGACTGAGCAGTAGTTGGCATAATCTTCTGGATCCAGGGAGGGATTGTCCAAGAATAAGCATACACTGCCTCCACTTCATTATGCAAAAATGTATTCACCATTCCCACAGCCAGTTGTCTCAAAAGAGCCAGGTTTGTGAGGTCTGTGAATGAGAGCATGATTCAGTTGGTACAGTCCAGAACTCCCAAAGTTCCAGTATGTGATATTTTAACTTGGAGAATCCCAATTGTTTAAGAATGAGTTTGCTTCTTATATTATAGTTCAATATATATTTTGTGCACATCTAGCTTCAAAGAATTTCTCCTATCCCTGAGAATCAGTTTGACATTTTCAGTGTTCACATTAAGTAATTAAATCCTGCGAGGCAGCCAGTGCCGTTTCTTTTCTTTTGCCTTCAGCAGAGCAACACTTTCTTGTAAAACTCTTCTACATAAAGCAGAAGGAAAGTTCAATCATTTAAATCCCAAAGGGGAAGCTGAGACTAATCAGAGATGCTGGGGCTTCTGTCAATAGTACGGTGCAAGTGGAGACCGCAACAATAATATTAGGTTAGAAGAGGAAGAAAAATATGAGAGTGAAATGTCAGGTTGGAATAGCCATAGGTATTTTGAGTGATAATAAATAGCTGTACTGCTTGACCACAGTTGCTTTGATACAGTAAGATATATTACTTGTGTATAAAATGACAATACAAAACCACACAAAAAGTTTGGTATAATTATATGGGCTTTTGGTAAGGTGTTGCTACCTTCAGAAAGTGACTACAGTATACTACTTCTATTCACTAGGGCTGCACCAAGTTTCAAAGGGATTCTTTGCATCACCAAAAGTTCAAGCAAAGAACCATTTTTGAAGAAATTCACTTCACCTCAGTGAGACTTGTTGCATCATTGAAGTGAACCCAAACTACCTTCCACGATTCATTATCTTTGTGAATAACATATTTTTTGAATAAGATTCAAGAATTTAAATGGAGCTAAAGTGGGTGCCAAAGTTATTTAAAGATAAATAGTTTTTAGAAGCTTAGGAGCATTAGTAAGTTTAAAAAAAAAAATCTGTATCTTCTCTTATATCTTCTTGCAGTGATATCAGTAAGAATCAGATATCGGATATCGCACCAGATGCTTTTCATGGATTGAAATCACTCACCTCTCTGTAAGTACAGAATAACCTTGAGTGGGAGATTTTTAAAAAGTCTTAAAAATAAGTAGATTAAGTATCGGTCTGTTATGCTTTCATTTTCCGTGTGTAATTGTCTCCTTGTAAGAAGATCTAACCTTTATTTAATTGAAATTGATCTGAGCTGAAGGTGCCATTGTTTGTGCAAATTTAGATTCCTTTTATAGATGAACACAGTATGAAGGTTAATTATTAGGCCACTATAACATCAGGGCACACTTGTATTTTTATTTCCTTAGATATTGAAGATCATATTGTTAGGGACAACCAAACATACAGCAGTCTACTGCATGTTACTGAATGAAACCTAAACCCTAATTTTTTTTTGAGAAAATAAATGGAGATTTAATTTGATAATGATATGCATAGTTCATGGGAACCACTATATGTATTATTACTTTCTCAAAAAGGTGATTGGGCTGCAGTATTCCATAATAACTACCACTGCAAGCACCATCAGATAATATGAGATCTTAAAGCAGTATTTTAGCTCATCTACACATAATAAACAGCTCTATGGTTAAGATTTAAAACTATCCTATAACCTTTTAATCAGCTAATATCAAAGAATGCAATCCAAGTAATTTATTGGTTATTTAGTTATTTGTTTGTCATTTTTAACACACTTTTCAGTTTTAAAAAGCCAATCCAAAGCAGGGAACCTTATAAACAATTTAAGTATTATAAACAATTAAAACAATTCAAATTAAAACGACCTTAAAATAATAAAATACTTAAATCATAAAAAGTTTAAAAACTAAGATTTGGTTGATTTGTTGTTATCAAAATGGTTCAGAATATATAGCAGAACCAGCTTAAAGAAATGAATGGGTGAACAGAAAGTTCTTAAGCTGATGCCAGTCTTATCTGACAGGCAGATGCATAAGAAGGAAAACACTCCTTTAGAAATCCAAGTTTAAGCCATGTTAGCCGTGTCATAGCAAGTACCTTGAATTTAACTCTATCACAAACTGGCAGCTCCTTTAGAATAGATATAATATGTTTGTGAGAAGTTGCCTGCTTCAGAAACCAAGCTGCAGCATTTTGTACTAGCCACAACTCCTAGATCTACTGCAAGGGAAAACCCACACACAGTGCATTGCAGTAATTCAGACTTGATGTTCATAATGCATGACTCAATGTAACCAGGATATCCTTTCCTGAATGGCCATAGATCCATTCACAAACTGAACCTGGAAGAAATACTTCTTGAGCTTAAATTAGTGTTAATTAGGTATATTTTCAAAATCAGTTTCGAATTAACTTGGTTAAGAAGCACTGAGGCCATCATTACATATAGGTTATCCAACAAGATCTTATTCTATATCTGTCTTTTATGGACATCTATTCTTTGCAAGGAGTAATAAGTGATGTTAAAAAGTTTTCTTCCTCTTCCTCCTCCTCCTCCTCTGCTTCTGCTTCTTTTGCTGCTTCTGCTTCTGCCTCCTCCTCCTCCTCCTTGTAGTTTATTTACGTCCTTTTCTTGCCTCTTTTGGAAACAAATGCAAAATTCCCTCCCTATCCTATGGAATTCTTGCTATCTTATTTTGCTGGGTTTTTAAGGATTTGCATAAAATTAGCTTTACTGTTTTATGTTATAAATCCTTATGTTTTTGTTTTATGTTATTACACGCTATTGAAAGACAATGTGTAATATGATGATGTAAATAATACAATTTGCTTTCTTACAACACAGTGGAATTGTCCTATTATCAGCAGTCGGCCAAATAACAATAGGAAGTTTATGTAAGAGAGCTTCTGAACATTAAACCGTTACTATATTTTCAGTAAAAGCAAAAAAAGTAGATTATAGTCTTTAGTGTACAGTTACTTGGAAAAATGTTTAATTTAAATGCCACAAAACTTTTGCTGTAAATAAACACAAAATTATAATATGGCAGCAGTCCTAAAGCTCAGTACATTGGCACTCCAATCCTAAATATTTATGCCAATGCATCTGTCTCTGAAATGCCAACATAAGGACCTTGATGTTGTAAAATCCTATTATGCATGCTAGAGATTGCCACATTTGCATCTGAATGTTTTTCCTTTCATTTGCATTTTCATAGTCCCTCTCTAATGAATAGAGCATTTTCATTTTTACATTTTGAATGTTTAAGGCACAATTTTACAATTTAGCAGTGGGGCTTGCTTCCATGCAGAAGTAAATAAAAGCACCTGGTAGCACATCTGAATTGCATCCAATAACTCCTATTATATTGCTTTGGCTCCATATTAAGCTCTTCATTTTTAGCTAATGTATACAAACAGTAAATTATGTGATAAAATTATTCCTAAACTCAGCCATCAGATTGCATGTGCATATCTGAATTAATACTCTGCTGGGATCTATCCTTCACTTTTCCAAAAACTTTCTTCCCTGTGAAACAAGCTACGGTTTTTCCTTCTTCATTTGAAGAAGTGAGGGTGGGGGGATACATTTCTGTTTAATACTTTTAATAGTGTTTATGAGCTTCCTATATTGTTGCAGGATTTTTTTTTTCCTTTATACATGGCAGCCCACAGTTTCTAATATGAAAAAGCACTATAGGAGGAGTTGCCTAATAATATTATATTCTGAGATTTCATTTGGAATCGAAAGCTACAGAGACTACAGATTAAGTAAGAAAGCAATCTTTTAAGTTATGTTTGGGTCATGGTAAAACCCAAAGCTTTTTGTTAAACTTTTCAGGGACTCAACTGACAATAGAAAGTATAACATAAATTATTAGCAAGCTCAGCTTCCAAATTCAATTTGTGTTTTTACTCAGTACTTCGTGTGTGTGTGTGTGTGTCTTAATAAATTCCGTTTTTTTAATGTAAAGTGTAGTTTTAGTTGTCAGCCATTTAAAAATTTCTTTTATCTCCAACCTACTTGATATTTAAAACTGCAACAGTAAAATTGAATTACAATTACATAACCAAGTTGATGGGGAAATACATGACCTTTTTCTCCACAGCACATAACTTGTTTTTCAACTTCCAGTCAGTCTTACTGTAATAGTTTATAACAACAATGCTTATTGTTAGTGCTGCCCATTTCTCTTTGGAACAGAGTAGAATAGACTGGAAATCATTTACCTTCACACGGGGGATTGCTGATTTCCAAACCATCCCTCCTATTGTCTAGATGCTTTAACCATCCATGGAAAATTGGTACCTTTTGTGGTCTCTTATGGAGGGGGGTGGGGTACAGATAGATGCATCTAGGGTATTAAGTCCCCAGGGCATTTACATTAAAATAAAAATAACTAACTGCTTATTTCTTTGTGCCTTTATGATTAAATGTGTTGTATATAATCCTGTGATCACTGAAGACAGTAACTGGACACCTCCCAACTTCAGTGATAATGTAGTACAGTTCTTAAAGATGTAAATGGTCAAAATACTGAATATTTCTCTGAAATCCAATCAGTGACCGTTCCAACTTTTTTTTTTTAATTTCAGTAGCCATTTATATATTTTTTTCTGTCCAAGCATTATTCATGTATATAATTTGGTAGTTCTGATATCTTCTGAATTAACACTTTATTCTCTATATTATGTATATCTGAATTAAAGAAAATGTAAATCATTTGAAGTTGTCTTATGTCAACTAATTGGTGCAATCTCTAATTTATATATTATTATTATTATTGTTGTTGTTGTTGTTGTTGTTGTTGTTGTTGTTATTATTATTATTATTATATGATTTATATATAATAAGATACTTCAGTGGAAATTTCACTCAACAAACCCATTATTCCAGCCTCTCAGCTCAATTCCCCACTCTGCCTTACTCCAGCTCATTCATTTAATGGTAAATTATTATTATTGTTGTTGTTGTTGTTGTTGTTGTTGTTGTTGTTATTATTATTATTATTATTATATGATTTATATATAATAAGATACTTCAGTGGAAATTTCACTCAACAAACCCATTATTCCAGCCTCTCAGCTCAATTCCCCACTCTGCCTTACTCCAGCTCATTCATTTAATGGTAAAACATAGGTTCATATATAGAACAGTTCTCTGTAACCTTGCCTGTGAAAACAAAACTGAAATAGATTTTCAGGTAACAGGACAGGTCTTTAGCTTAACTTCAGTTAGCACTGCATAAGATATTACCATCTGCTTCTTATTTATTTGTATTTATAGTCCTCCTCATACTGTAGATTCAGGATACGTTATAGCAATTTTATCAAATGCAAACATATCATTATCTTTTGGGTCTCACTTTTGTCAGTGAAGACCTTTTCCAGACTATTTGGAATCATTGTTTGTGATGTCCTTAGTAACTCAGCCAGACCTTAGTTATTCAAAGATGAGATAATTTATTTCAGATCTGTGTAAAATATATAATTCTTCTGATTCAAGCTCTTAGCCAATTTTTAAAATTTAGATTAGGTTGGTTCCAAATGCTTAGTATTGAGTGTGTCATTCACGTTTACATTATCACTGAATGAATGAGGGAATATTATCATTTGGGGGATTGCCAATGATGAACAATGATACTGTTGAATGAATGCAATGATAGCCTATTGCAGCCATCATTTCTACCTTGAATGACTTGGCTGAATTTTTTTCCCCCCTTATGCTATAAATATAACTTTTATTCTTGGACTTCACTAATATCCACAAGCTGCTATCCAACATTCCTACAGGCTTTTGCTTACATCAGAATGTGCATGCCTGGAAAGGTTTTACTACTTCCTCCACATTTCCTTGAATATCATTTATGGATCTTTAAAGGCCTGAATAGATGGTTTGGGAATATACTAATCAACTTTTAAAGATACTTATAAATGCCTCCAAATAATGAAATAAAGTTAGCTGATGGATCTTGAAAAACTGATGGATCAAAAAAATTGAATTTTAGGCTCGAATAACTGGTACAATGCATAAATACATCAACATATGTAGAGTAGTTGGTGAGTGTTTATTATCACTGTTGTCTAACTCTGATGCATTAAAAATGTTCTGGGGAGCATATAGCTCTGCCAGCCAGTTGTTCAGTGGTGGATATGTGCAATGCTGAAAGGGGAAGAGCAATCCTTTCTTGGCTTGGAAGTGTTATTTCAGCAAGACTCATTCTGGGATTTTCATGTCAAAAGAAAGTTTCTCAACTGTATTCATCCTCTACTTGACTTTTTAATCCTAATATGTGTTTTGGCAAAACTGTGACTTACTCTAAAATAGTGCAATTCTAAACCCAGCTAAACCTAATGGGATTATTTCTGAATAAATAGACCTAGGATTGGCACTTCATGAAACAGAAACATAATGCTGCTGCTTATTTTGAAATGGTGCAATTATGAAAAGATGTTCCTTCCAATGCTGACTCAAATTAGGGAAGGTGGTATGTGCATTCATTTGCTATTAGATTTTAAGGGTGTGCCTTTTTAAATAACCCCAAAGTAAGTGATATTTCAGCATTGCACACATTTCTTCCATTTTATAATTCATTATGAACTAACATGACATCACTTAATTTCCTCTGATGGATAGTTGAAGACAAGTAAAATGGGATACATAAATGAGACTTGCAACTGAATTTAACAGTCCCACATAATCCAATTGATAAGCCATAATCCTGAGCAAATATAATCCTGTAAGGCTGTAATAGTGAATGTCTTTTTTTCAGATCACTGGAAATTTCACATGGCAATTCAATAACAAATTTCAACCCTTTTGAATTGTGTCACATTCAAACTTTCAAATATCATGCAATATGTGAAAAGAAGCATAAAAACTTCTGAACCCAAAAGGCTGTTTTAAACATCTTATTTATTTGAAAGTCTTATTTTAATC